TGTACATGTACATGTATTTCAGTACAGCATATTATTGAATAAATGTCAGTCAAAGTGCTGCAGTGCTTAATACTGAAAAAGGCCTGGACGGAAAGGGGGTGTAACAACCTGGTCTTCAAGTGATTAAATACAGCACCATCAGCACCCCAGTCTGATTCATTATAACTTTAGAACTTAAAAATAAAAGCTTTTTAAGGTAAGTTTGGATGTGGCACCTGATTTTTTTTATAGAGCAACAACAGGCTGGTATTGACCGGTGGGAGCAGCAGCCACATCAGCTCTAAAGGCTAAAGGAAAGTTTATTAATAAAATAAATGAAGCTTTAGCCCCCAACTTCATAGAAAATTAGCCAGTGGCACAGCAGTTTCATTATAACGTTTGCAAGACTTCTTTTTTGTGGTACCACACGGCATTCTCCTAAAAGTTTAATAAAATGTCAAAACAGAGTACACACAAACATTTCAAAACCACACCACAATCCCCAACCCCCTCCCATCCCCATATCCTCAATTATTTAGAAAATATTAAAAATGTAAACTTCAGGCATAAGTTTGGTAGAGATTGACTAGTGTCAGGACAGTACGCAAACACTTGAATAGGCAGCAAATTGAAAGAGCTCTGCAGTGTGGGCCTTTTTGTCCATATCTGCTGCCAAAACCACCATTGTGGTCTACAGCATTTGTGTGCAGTGTATCAGCCATGGTAAAATTACCAGCCATTTGGATAACCAATGCTTGAGGAAACAAATGAATCTGCACCACATGGCTTAGTGGGAGTAGCACCTCAATGACACAAGACTGCAACAAAAGGCATGCCCTCTTTATTCCTCAATGGCACATAGCAGTTATTTAGAGTGCTGCTAATGCACCATTTTCCTCCTCATGAAGGACTCATAGCAGTCACTTTATATAAATGTGCAACCAATGCACCATTTTCCTTCTCTTCCTTCTGAAAGTTACATAGCAGCCACTTTATTTTAGAGTGCAGCTAATGTGCCCATTTACTCTCCCTTCTCACATAGAAGCCATTTTTTTAGGAGGACTGAATATTTACTCTTTCTCCTCCTCCTCACCTGCTAATCTCACTAAATATAGAGGAGGGTTGGGATGCCAGTGGTGAGGTGGAGGAATGTGGTTCTGGCATTAAGGAGGAGGAATGTAGAAAAAAAAAGCCTCCTGCCCTTCTACAGGACAGGGGAAAGAGCAGGTGGCATGAAGAGGAGGGGAAGAAATTATAGGGCCATGTGGCAGGCAGCAGCAAAAATTAAGTGCATAATCCTATGACCATAGACTGCATGTCCTTCCCCAAATCTTACTTTATAAAAATGTGTTTGGATCCGTGAGTTTGGATCGCACTTTGCTGCCATAGACTTTTCAGACTGTCATTATTTTACATATACTGTCATTATTTTACATATGTTATGCACATTTTTACAAACTTAAAATATGTGCAAAATGAACTTGGCCAAGTTCTTTGCACTGCAACTCCTATCATATAATGTAGTGGAAATTTCATGTCAATTTTTCTCCTCCTTTTCCTCCTCCTGAAGGAAACAGGGTAGCAATATTTTTTGGGCCTGCTAATGCACCCTTTTCCTTCTCCTCCTCCTCCTCCTCCTCCTCAAGGGTGCATAGGAATCATTTATAGTATATTAGACCTGCTAATGCACCCTTTACCTCTGCATCCATTTATTTTTGGCCTGCTAATGTGTTTTTTTCGTCATCCTCCCCATTCTCAAGGCCACATAGCACTCATTTTTTTTTAGTCTGCTAATGCACCCTTTTATTCCTCCACCTCTTTAAGAGCACAGTGAAGCTGCTTACTCTTTTAGTACTGCTCCTGAATCATTTCCCCCCTCCTCCTCCCCTAATCTCACCCCATCCCTACCAACTAGCCATGAGAACTCAGCAAACATTTTTGTGGTTGCTATCTCTAACAAAGGTCCAAAGGAGCTGCTGTGGAAGCAAAAGACATTTTTTTTTTCTGATGGTGCAAGGTTCCCTTGTACTAGAAGCATGGCTGCAGAGGAAAAATGTATGGCCATAGGCTTCCCACCCATCTGCAAAATATGGCGAAGGGCAGGCAGCAGCAGCAAATTAATACAGAAAATAGTTCTGACAGGTGGAGGAGTGATGGGGTGCTGGCAGTGAGGAGGAGAATTACTTTTGAGGGAGCCTTCAAGTGGGATGCTTCACCCCCTTGATATAAGGGTGAAATGATGCAGGGATCTACTGTCAACATCTAAGAGGGAGCACAAAGTGCCCCACTCTAAGGCAGCATGGCAAAGAACCTCTTTGCTGCATTTCCTCATGGTGGCCTAAAGTAAGAGACAGACGTTCTGCATGCAGTAGCATTTTTTCCTAGGTTTTTATGTTTTTTTTTTTATTGTTTATGATTAATCTCAATGCCTATGTTTATTATGTATTGAGTAAAGTAATAACATATACAGCTTTTCAGTTTGGCTTCAAATGCATCCCTGGGCTCTTCTAAAAATGTGGATGGAGGGTATTAATAGCATTATGGAAAAGGTGCACTCTGACATTTCAAAGGAGTTGGAAGTCTTACTCATGGAACCCAATGAAAGAGAACAGGAAATAATAAGTAACACATACAACGGAGTTGTAAAGCAGATTTTTTATTGAAAGTATTTTCAATTTAGGATCACAAAGTTGCATTGAAATGGCAGAAGGTTTGGATTGTACCAGCCAGGCTTGTCAAACAAGCCTGGCTGTTGGGTGACTTTATTTTATTGTTTTCTCAATTGGTGATTGCTTGAGTCATATCTTTAAGCAATATATCTTTTTGTTTATTGTTTGGTTGGTTAATAATTATTTATGGTAAACCAATAAAGTGCCACAGTCATTATTTTCTACTTGTGACATGTTATATACCTGTTTAAAGAAGAACTCCAGACAGAAATATTAACCCAAGCAGTGGGACAACCAACCCAGCAGAAAGGATTAAGTGTTCGTTCTCGTCCAGAGATGAAAATAAAAAAGTTATACTCACCTGAACCTCACAGCCGGCTAGTTGTTAGACCAGTCCCTGAAGCCTAGCTCTAGCTCCACTCCAATGGTCTAAGGCCCTGCGAGTCATCACATCCTATACAGTGTATAGGACGTGACGACGCTGCCGGATATTCCATCCCTTTATTTTCATCCCTATACAAAAACAAGCACGTATCCCTTGCAGTGAGGGGGTAGATCCAATGCAAGGGTTAAGAATATTATGAGTTCCTCTTTAATGTTATGGTTGTTGATTGGTGCCAATTGCAATTCCATGAACAAAGGAGGATGGCACTTTATGGTGCCAGTTTTTTATGGGATTTCATGGGACCTTTTTCATGGGATTGCAGCAAGGGGAAATTTTCCTTTTTTCTCGCCACTCAATTTGCAGAGTCATTGTACCAGAGTGTGAAGCCTTGTGTCCCAACAATTAATACCCTTGCAGTTGCAATGGTTTCTCCTCGTGGCTGTCCATAGAGCATAAAGGAATGATCTACAATAAATACTTTTTCAAACTATGTTTACTGAAGCAAAGCAACTGAGCAAAAATTTACCAGCCCACGCTGCACAAACATAAAATTCCAGTACATTGTACTCAAGACAGTTGTCATAATTGTTACAGGTAGGATGAGTCAGTGTCAGACTTGTGGATGAGATATCTGTGGATTTGTCATATCTATAAATGTATGGAAGAAGGTGGGAGAAGGGAGGGGGGAGAATGGAGGTGGAAGGGAATAAAAGGTGTGGAATATTGAAGGGTAGGGATTTCTCCCCATGATGTCTTACTAAGATGACCCCCCTCATACCCTCAGGGGATCAGTAAGGTGAATGTAAAGTCCGTAAGCTTCTGAGAGTCCTTTTGTAAGATCCACGCAGACTATGGGGGTTATTTACTAAAGAGCCGAAGGATCCAGCCGTAGCTTCGGCTGATCCTTCGGCTCTCTTCGGCCGCCTCTGCTCTTCGGTTCAGTCGAACCAAAGGGCTGCTGTACATGCTATTCACAATAGTCCGTACAGCAGCTGAGCGGCTCAGCTGACCTTAACGCATATGCTTCGGCTCGGCTGAGCCGTAGTGGCACCCGAAGCGTGAAGAACGGTCAGCCGAAGCGAACCAATCTCCACATAAATGACAGCTGGGTGGAGCCAGCTGTCTCTGCTGTATAGCTGACTGTACAGCTGCTGTACAGAGACTACAAGAGGCTGATAGAAGGAAAACTGTAGGTAGTTACACTGCTTTCATTTAAAAATACATCTAAAGATGTACATCATTTATACATGCAGAGCTGCATTAACTTGTGTCTTTTATATGTGCCTGCAGTTCAGCTTTAATTGAAAAAAACTTTAGAGACCACATCATATATGTTTTAAATATTTTTATTGATAGATGACATTCTGCCAACAGAGGTTAGATAAGCAGCAACAATATAACTGACCAATTATACTTCCTACAATGGTAAAGAAATTAAAGTGTAAGTTACTCCAAGGTAGACAGTACTGCAACTAATTTGATGCAAATATTGTATTACAAAGGTTGCATAACATGATTATGTAGTATATAGTATGTATATGGGAAATTCATAAAAAGTGGCACATCTATGCTACACATTTACTAAGCACTCATCTGCTTTAAATAGGATCAATATATTTGATGTCCACTTACCAGGAATACATTTAAAAGATATAGGCAGACAATGATGAAAAATGATTGGATGTAATCTGTGGTATGGCCTTAACTATAGCACATGCCACACAAAGCCTCCCTACCATTGTAAGTACCCCCGGACAAAGCAAATACATATATGAGGGAAGGGCTTAATGACTGAGCTGGATATTATCATTTTAAAGGGTTTTCCAAATTTATTGAAGTAATGAGTCTTGGGGAGTTCTTACCTCTGGGTGATTAGTTAAACTTTGGGTACCTATATGAAAATGCTCCCTTTGCATAGCATTAAAGGGCAGAAGAGTTCCTCCATTTTTGACCAAGTGATGTTAATACTAATATCTCTTTCTAGCTATATAGTTTGAAATAGACTTTACCGCTTGAAGTTCAGTTTTCTTTTTTGAACATTTAAGACCCATTTGGATTTTTCTATTCGATAAAATAATTACAATGGGGCTAATAGCAGAGAAACAAGAATCAAAAAATATGCGTGCGTCAGTTAAACGGGGAGATAGTGGAAAAGTACAGAGCGTAAGTATCCAAAACAAGTTGTCTAGACCAAAACTGACAATATACATCATGACTAATGTAAAGACAGCCTTGGCGGCACGAATCTCAGCATGTTTGGTATGCAAGGTTGGAATACATTTAACTTGTTTACCATGCTGATAGAAAACATAAAGCAGATATCCACTGGATAACATCATTAGACTCAAAAAGAACAAATCACGAACAACATAAATCACTCCATTCCCTAAGTAAATTAGATAATTTGGAAAGATCACAAAGCAGAACTTGTAACTCATAATGTATCTGGAAGTAATATTCGTGATAGAGGCTGTAGAGTAGGCCAGACGGGTACTACTTATGATTAGATTAAAAGTCCATAGAAAGATTATTATTGGGAACAGAGAGTCAAGAAGCCTCTTCTTTGCATTCATCCAGCGTCGGTTTGATGGAGTAATGGAAATACACTGAAAACATCCTAGCAAGGAAGTAATGCTGACAGACATGGCTCTTCCTACACAGTAAAAGTAAAGGCTTATCTGGCAGGTTAAGTCACCAAATACCATATAGGTTCCAGTAGACTGTAGGGTAATTGGAAGCCCCCATGTCAGTATCACTAGCAAATTTGACAAAGCAAGCTTACCAAGGATAATTTCTGCTGTAGTTACTCTGCCATGGCTGTGAAACGTGTGAAAAAAAGCAAATAAAATTATGAGATTGCCAGGAATTCCTATCACATCTAATGAAATGTAACTAATTATATCAAGGACAAGCCAGGTTCCCATTATGTGTTTTACAGCAGAACTTCTTTGAAGGCCAATATCTGTAAGATAAATAATATTTCACATTACTGATGATAATAAAGTTATGTATATTTCTTTAAGTTCAGTATGTCACAAATTCCAATGGCTTTGGTCAAGAAGGCAGTAAATTGAACTCCTCCAAGGCACTGTGGGCATGTTTTGCCACATATGAATAAAAAAGAATTACAAATAGTAAACATAACTTTGCATAAGAAATTCCTCAAACCCTTTTTTTTATTAAATTGTGTTATCGAATTTCCCATTACTATCTTCTTCTTGTGGTAAAACATTCCACAGCCTGTTTGCCCATACTGTAAAAAACACCTTTCTTTATTGATGGCCTAATCTAATTTTCTTCACACACAACCAAAGTCTTCTTGTCTTTTGTATACCTTGGATATATTTACACAGATTACATATTTACATAAATGTAATACATTGTTAATAAGAGTATTTATAGTGTTATGTTGTGTTAGTAATCGTTAGCAATACCCACCTGTTATGTTAGCAATAGTTAGCAATACTTAATTAATTTAGTTGCTTGCTTTGTACCCTCTTCAAATGTACTATGTCCTGGGCATTGCTGAAAACTGTACTAAATATTCCATAAGCAACCATACACGTGATTTATACAGGAACAATACTATGCTTGCATCACACATTTTTATTTGTCATTTAATTTTTTGTGTATTTTTTCTATATAATTTTAAAATTATATTTGCTTTTGCAGATGCCACTTGGTACTGAGTAAAGTCACTTAGTTTAACATCTATTCCCAAGACTTTCACATGATCTGTTTCCCCCAAATTCCTTCAGTTTCATGTAATTTGATTATTTTAGCCTCATTTGTATACATTATGCTGTCTTGATCTCTTGAAAATATACTTATCATACATAGAATGGATAGTGTTTTTGTTATTGTATTTTTAAAATATGTTCATATTCAGAATTAACACTAATCTGGCTATTTTCTTAGAGCTTTAATTTGTGTCTGGAGTTTATTTTTAGAGCCTAGAGCCTAGAGTTTGGGGTTTCAAAATGATTGGCACCATTATATGCTAGCGTGAAATGTATGTTAACGTGTGTTGCAGTAAGAATATAAAAAGTATTAAGGCATAAAAGTATTTTATTGCACTGCAATGGCTAGATATAAATGAGCCACAAAACAAATGAAACACAAAACATTGGATTCCCACCTTTGCATTTTTACCTAATGTATATACATTAAAATAAATGTAAACACATCAAAACACATGTGTCAAGACCCACATTAACACACATCTTGATACATATCAATATGTCATGACTACGGATGGATAGATGTGTCTGAGTTTGGTTCACAGGGCAGTCATTGAACCCATTGTAAGGTTCCAAAATTGCAAAATTAGGTTTGATGCCTTATAAATTCTATGGGAGGCAAAATCAATTCAGGACATTTTCAAGGCAAATAGGCAATGGATTGTCAATTTGGAGATGGGCACCGCCATGGGGGAGATGTACTAGTGCAAAAAATATAAAAAACACTGTGAAGCCAGGAGAGGGTTCTTCTTTTATTGTGACTTCAAGAGGGACTTTTAGCAATATGTGGCATTACAGAGTGTTATGTCAGTACGTCAGTGACATATTATGGCATCACATATTTTGCCTGTGTAATTGATTTTTTTAGTTTTACATTATTGCTTGGCAGAAATACAGCAGCAGCCCAATAAAATTCATTACAACTTGCAAAAAGGCTTTATTATGTAGTTTTGGTTGCAACACCTGATTTATTATCCAGCAGTAATAGGCCTGCAGTGACCAGTGGAAGTAGCAGCCACAACACATCTAAAAGCTATAGGAAAGTGTACTCTTAAAAATATAAAGCTAAAGCCTTAAACATCATATCAATTGGCCAGTGGCAAAACAGTTTCATAGTATAGTTAGTGAGTTAAGTGTATTACTTCAGAGACAATAGCAAGTAATATTGCACAGTTACTGCACAGTATGTAAGAAGCTTGAGAGAATATTATTTCAAAGACAAGAGCCACAAATATTGTACATTTGTTGGAGAGTATGTAAGCAGCTTAGACCACAAAGTAAAAGGCGAGGCAGTTTTTTCATGAAATAAAAATGGAGCATATTATTTCAGAGGTAATGGCCACAAACATTGTATAGTAGTTGCACAGTAAGTAACTAGCTTGATAAGGCTGCAATGTAAAGGTTCCCATACACTGTACAATTATCGTACAATAATCGCGGGAAATCCCGCGATCGTACAATAATCGCAATGTGTATGGAAGCGTGCAACCGTTTCTTCTGTACAGTCGCACGTCTTCCATCAAACAAGCAGGCTGTAAAATCCGTCCAAGAATCGTACGATTCTCGGCGGGTTAGTGGCCTGCTTATTCGACAACTGCCGAACGGGCCAGTGCCCGTTCAGCATTGCAGTCATCGGAAGCTCACCCCTCAGTACGCAAGTACGATCTGCCTGTCCAAGATGGACAGATCGTACGTTTTTTAAATTACTTTACAACCCTCACAAGACAAAAGGCTTGCGAGGGTTGTAAAGTGTATGGCCACCTTAAGAGGGACAGATGAAGCAGTTTTTATCCTGAAATACAAATTAGAGTGTATATTTCCAGAGACAATACCCACACATATTTTTTGAGTGCAGAACATTGGAATAGAATACAAACTAGGAGAAACAGATAATATTTTAACCTTCGGAAAACATAAGAAATTTGCAGTTGAAGCCTAGCTGTGACAACATTATGTGTGGAACCTTTATAGTGTCTGAGCACTGGAATAGGCTGCAAACGTTGAGGCACAATGCAGGATTTACCCTGCAGCAACTGTTACACATTTTGCAGCTTGGAAAACAATATGGGAGGCACCTTTACAATGCCGGAGCTTCAGAATAGGGCAGCAGAGTCTGCAGGAGCTGGTAATAGCTGCAGGCCAACAGCGGCTGTAGCAGCTGGTAATACTGGCAGGCCAGGAGAGGTGGTAGGAGCTGGTACAACACTTTAAAAGGCCAGGAAGTTAATTTTTGGTAATTGGTTGTTATAGCAGTGAACAGGCACATTGTTTCACCATTTTTTCATATCAATTGTTTGTACAATTACTAACAACACTAAACAATAAAATAAAAAATAAAACTGGTGGGCAATCTGCTGCTCTCCTCAAAAGTCCAGACATAGATGACACTCCTGTGACTGGAAAATGTAGGGTCCTACTTGTTATAAAAGGCAGCACTTCTCATTAGCATGTGAAAAGTTGTGATAATAATAGACATGTGCATTCAGATTTGGCCAGACCTGCAAATAAACGAAATTCAGTTGATTCGTTTCATCTGAATCCGAAATAACACATGCCCAAATATACGAAAACTATATTTGGGCATACATAAATTTGTTTTCAGATGGCATGCCCGTCGCCATATTGGAGGCAGAGCCCCTGACATCTAATGATGGTTACATCACACACTAAACGAGTGGTGGCCATGCGTGCTGCCATCTTGGAGTATATTTTGGTGTATACCAAGGTACACTCCAAGATGAAAGTGCGCATGAGAAGAACGTGCTGCCGGCCAACATGGCCACCGCTCATTTTGCAGTTTCAGTGTGCGGTTTCGGATTCGGAGGCTCATTGCCTCTGAATCCAAAGCATAAAAATGTGTTTCCTTTGACGAAACGAATGAAAAGCATTATAGCATATTAAAAGTAAATTCACTTCAATTATGCAATCACGCACAAAGGTATTTCTATTTTTAATTCCTCTGCATATTGGATATTTAAACTGAACACAGGATTACATGGCTACCTCATAAATTATTCTTTTTAATAGATATTTTTTAAAGACTGATATCTAACATACATTTACATGCATCATTTTTGTGGAGTTTACTAATAAAAGACAAAAAACTCCACCAAATTAAATAGAAACGCGTTCTGTATATATTGAAGAAAGCATTAAATATAAGCACATTTTGTATATATTAAGTAAAGCAGTATGTGCACATTAAAAAATTACAGAAGCACATTTTGTATATTTTGAAGAAAGCACTTTGTGAACATTAAGAAATATATCTTTCAGTGCACATTAAACTATCTACCTTACATATATAACATATTTGAGTACAGTCATTTATTTTCTCTCAGGAAATATGAACCATTTCATTCTAGTGTACTCACTTTCTATGCTTTAAAGTAAACCATTTTCAGAGAATGGAGTGCTGCCTTATTGCACGTTAACCATTTGCCATCTTTCCTCTATCTAAAATTAAAAATAAAAAGTTTGCTTTAGATACAATATAAGGCTTGAAGAGTGCAAAACATTCAACAAACTACATTGGGATGGAAATAAGGAACTGTTTGTAAATGAAATCATTGTTTATAGTTTATTTCATGAATCAGGTAAAGATACTAAAACACTATCCTGTTGTTCTGTTGATTTACTTAAAAAATATGAACTAAGCAGCTACTGCACTAAAAATAAAAAAAGAAGCAAACTTGTTATCATAACTGGTCCATGATGCACATACTGTTCTGATGAACCTTTACTATGCAAAATATGGGGGTTGCTTTTCCTGAACTTCTTCCGCAAGTGCTAATTGTCTGTCAGTCACTGACCTGGAGCAAGTATGCAGCAAGCAAATTTAGAGCACACTCTAAACTTTTGATCTGCATGATTGTCCTCTCCTAGTAAGTTAGAAAGTATTAAAACTATTAAAGCTATTCCTAACTGTTAGATGACAGCTAGGAAACAAACTTTTTATGAACGAGAAGTCAGTAGTGGCACCCCCCACGTTTCTCTATGCACAGGATTCTTTAAAGTGGATCTCTGATTAAAAACAGACACACTTCACGTGAAGTAGCAGCATATATGTCAGTATTACCAAATAACATTTTTTGGAGTAAAAAGGTATATTTGTCTTGCTATGTATTAGAAAATGCTATCTTTACCAGGGCTTTAATGTATATGAAATAACTCAAACCAGCATT